ACTGAGTACAACTGAGCGCACTCCCAGAAAGCACAGCTGACCCTCTACTTTCAGCCCTGAGCTTGGTGTAGCTGTGAACATAAAAGCAGCAACTCGGCATCTGAGCTCAGAGGAACTCAGAAGGTGGGCGAATGTGACCAGTGATAGTCATGTATATAGAGATTAGAAATGCATGTGAAAACGTCTCAATGTCAATTGCTTTGGAATGAATTCTTCTGTATGAAAAAAAAAATTAAAAAAATAATGATTAAAAAACAAAAAAAACAAACAAAAAAAAAAGCAGCAACTCTCAGAATCTGGTTTACAAATTTTGTATGACTGCACCAAATTGTAAACATTCGTTCTCTTTCCTGATGCAATAAAATGTAAATGTTTCAGCTGGAAATGCAAGGAAGAGGTGCTGTAACTTCTTGAGTTCCCATTAAGTTTGCTTCGTTTGCCCCGGACACTCATTCTGCAGTATTTAGATGCAAAAATCACATAGAATATGTTGAGCCTGATGGACTTGGAGCCATTGGTCAGAGTTTATGGAGCAGAATTACCAGAAGGCCTTCAATGGTTCTGTCACAATGATGGTTAACGTTGCCTAAGACCTCACAACACAGACTGGAATGTTCCAACCCCCAAATCTGCTTTGGTCTCTATTCTTCTGTCCTGTGTGATACATTTACACAATGGAGTTCTACTCAGCATCAGAGAAAAATGAAATGAAATTTACAAGTAAATGGATGGAACTAGAAACTGTGAAATAATACAAACTCAGAAAAACAAGTGACAAAAACAAGTTCTCTCTTGCTTGTGGATCTTAGCTCCAAATCCTTAGATAGGAGTATGTATACTGATGTAACTGCAGGAGCCTGAAAAATGGAAAGCAAACATGATAATAAAGGGGGAGAAGGAGCTCAAGAAATGGGGGCTAGAAGACAGCTGCCATCAAGATACTGCCACAGCCCTTGAATGCCTCTCAGAATTTGAATTTAAGACCCTATTGCTGAAGACAGGCCACACTTCAGACACAGGACCTAGAAGCCTCTCCCCACCTCACCAAGGACTAGCTCTCATGGTATCAGAGGATGCTATACAAACTGCCAAGGGAGGAAACCAATCGATAGCCATACACAGCTCTAAAGCCTAATAAACAACGATTGGCCCAGCATCTAACACTATTGGTGCAGTAGTGGCACTTTTATCTTGGGCGTAATCAACATCTGCCTAATTGAAATCAATGTCCACTTAGTGGGTGGGAACTTATGTGTGTGGTACTGTAAACACAGTATTTACTCAAACACAGTATTTACTCATGGATGGAGGAGTCATAGATTTTAGAAAAAAAAAAAAAAAAAAACTACTTTTGCCACAACCCTAGACCAATGTAACTTCTTATTGTAATTTAAATTTTTTATTATATTTATTCTATATGCATAAGTGTATTGACTGAATATATATAAGTGCACCCACGACATGCTATTATACCTGCAGAAGACAGAAAAGAGAGTCAGATTCCCTGGAACTAGAGTCACAGACAGTTCTTAGCTGCCATGGGTGTTCTGGGAACTGAACCTGGGTCCTCTGCAAGAGCAGTCAGTGCTCTTAAATTTCTAGGCCCTTGCTATATTTGAATTATGCATCCTCATATTTATAGGAAAGTGTATCAATCACCGCTCCTCAGAGAAGCTTCTTTTTACAACAGATGGAGACCATTATGGAATTCCAGAACTGGTCAAATGCAGAGAATAAGTGTCTATGAAATGCTTAGTCCTAAGTGTCACATCTTCAATGCCACTTCTACACATAAGATCTCTCAACTCTAAGTTCCCTTATGCAGCAAATGGTGATTAACCCAGAAACCCACAATTGGCAAATGTGCATAGGACAAAAGACTGAAGAATTTTTATCCCTGAATGCAACACCTATTTCAAACTTCTGTCTCTCAAGACCCAGGGATCATTGTGGAAGAGGAAGCAGAAAGATTGTAAGAGCCAGAGGTGGTAGATCACCGCAAGGAAACAGTTTTCCAGACATCTGGTAAATTTTACATATGAATTTAGAGCAATGGTGACATTATGCACAGGTCCCATGCAAGTTCCAACCAGATGAAATCCCAGAACAGTCATGGGGAAGAAATACTAACATAATAGAAGGAACTTTTGGCAACTAATAGCACCTGGGAGGAAGCAAAGTGTTCTTTACAAGGATGAGACTCTCAATAGGTTCCAGTGGATGGACTTACACTGAACGACATTTGGTGACACAAACCAGAGTTTGTAGTGCATATTGAGATAAATATATATATATATATATATACATATATATCAGTAGTCAGACAAAAGACCCTGAATAAAAAAGGGGAGGGAGAATGAGAGACTCACAGATTCAAAACCTCTTGGTTTAGACATTAAAAGGAAGACAAGCTCCTCCAGGAACATTGATTATTTGGGCTTCCCAAGAGTTGGCAAGAGATAAACAGTGAAGACAAGAGGCAAAATGTGAAAGGCCAAGGCTCCAATATACCTGGTCTAAGCATAGTATTGCTAGGATTCCAATCATACAAGGGCTATTATTGCAGTAAAAACTAAAGCATTGATTCTGGACATAACAAATATTGAGAATTGCTCAAGCTACAATGTCTCTTTCAAATAGCATTTTCATAATAAACTAATTGAGAAATTATCTGATATGTATAATTGTGAGACTTTGAAGAGTCCATTTTAGGATGAAATAATTTTTTGACAAGAGAACTTCAGAAAAGTATTTTAATAATCTGTTATTGCATAATAAATTACCCAAAACATAAAATTGTAAAAGAAACAACCACCTTATGTGCAGATGTGTAACTTGTGTGGGCTTGTTGGCAAGAAGCTCTCTTTACCTCTGCAGCAGAAGCTACTATGACCCTCATGGTTACAGACAGGTAGGAATGGTCAACTCCTGCCAGCTGTCTCAGGCTTCAGTTCCTGTTGGGTTAGACCTCAGTTCTCCTCCGTGTAGGTAGTATAGCCATGATCACAAAAGATACTCTTCGGTTAGTCAGAGAAGTAAGATTCTCTCAGTTCCTAAGAGTGAATATTATTAGATTGTCTTACTTCTGAAGCATGGATCTGGCAAACAGTAATTATTTTCACATTGTATTGGCTGGAAGTACATTATGGAGAAGCCCAGAATTAAGAGAAGGGGCCCCATGGAAGGGCGAACACCTAGAGATAAGAGAGCAACCAAATAGGAATTAGTCAGAAATCAAAACATTTTCATCATATACATATACATATACGTGTACATGGATGGATATTTAGTGCCTCTACTTCAAATATTTCACTGGAGGGTCCTATTTTCTAAAACTCAAAATGACCAACCTACAACCTATGCTTGGGAAATTGTATAAATTTTCTGCAGAAAGAATAACATTTTAAGGTTAAAATACTAAAATGATGGAAATTTTATTCCCACCTCTCTCAGGGAAGTTTAAATACAAATGGGTTGATATGGATATGTTGCACAGTGTAGTATATGCTATATTCTACGGAGGTCTGAAATGGAATAAAACCTGATATCTTCAAATACTCCATTCTAGCACATAAGCGCATACCCTTTGTACATCCTTACTTTCCCTGTATGGATCTTTAAGTGATGAGAATATTAAATTTGGTTCCTCAGAAAATAGTGAGATAGAACTGACAGAGTATTCTTTAAGACAAAAAGAGAGAAATTTAAACACAGAATCTATCAGAATCTTATGGAAAGATATCCAAGAAAATTTTAGAGTTCTAAGAATAATTACTAAATTGAGTATGAAGGCAAATAGCACAAGAACAACTCAAGTGCAGATGTATTTAAGCAAAGAGTATGAAAGAAATTTGTAAATAAATATAAATTGTTCTTAAAGGAAGGAACAATATTAAGTATAGGAAAATCTTACACTATTTGAGGGAAAAGGGTTTTATCCTGATTATTCTAGGTTAATAGAGCTTTTATGATTCAAAAGCATGTAGAGACTAAACAATAACTATAAACAATATTTGTATGTGATGTTTTAGTTTAGAGAACTATTTCGCTTCTGTTAATTGCATAATCCTTATAATTACCGTGTGTATTAGATAGTCTTCTTTGAGTTTTAGTAATCAAATGAGAGCTCCATGAACTGGTAAAAGTCTAATTTTTCAAATATCATATTTACTCTAACATAAAAGTTCATTAAATTGTTTTTAGCACAGCAGATTTAAAAGATGGATTTATACTGAATCAGCAGCCTGAAACGTGACGCTGCTAGGAAGGCCGGGCAACGTGAGGCATTGCTCATAGGGCAGAGCTCCAGCTCCTAATCCAAGGCCCACAAAACTGCCAGGTACTAACTGCCCCTCCCTCCAGAAAAAGGAAGTCTCTACAAGGCGGGACTTATGGCCCCCAAGTTTGCCAAAATGTCACCAGGTGTGTCTCCTTTCTTTTTGATGCTACTTGCTTGTTCATTGTAGGTATGTAAGATTTCAAGTCCTCAACCTATGGTTAAAAATAGCAATCAGGGGACAACAATCTCAGCAGTTCAGAGAAGTACTGTTCTTAAGGAAAACTGAACTGGTTCCCCAGCGCCCACATTGGGCAGCTTAATATCATCTGTAACTCCAGATCCAGGAGATCTAACCCCACTCATATGGCCTGCACAGGCCCTTCCAGTTATACACACACACAGACGGGAGAGAGAAAAGGGAGAGAGAGAGAGAGAGAGAGAGAGAGAGAGAGAGAGAGAGAGAGAATAAATCTTTTAAAAATATTTTATTTATTTTTATTTTATGTGTATGAGTGTATTGCCTGAAAGCAGATAAGTGAATCCATGTTGTGCAATGCCCGCGGAGGACAAAAGAGGCAGTCGGAACCCCTGGAACTGGAGTTAGGGACAGTTGTTAGCTGCCATGTGGGTGCTGGGATTCCAACGCGGGTCTTCTGCAAGAACAACCAGTGTTCTTAACTGCTGAGCCATCTCTCCAGCCCCCAAAATAGAATCAGTCTTAATACTTGAATCTTTCCCATTCCTGATACTTCACAGTACTATATTATGAGCAGAATAAATCTAGACAGGATACTTCCCATTTGTCTTTGGGCCCTTCTCTACAGCTCTCCCACATTTCCTCCTTGAGGATGAAAGCATTTCAAAGATTTTGGAGTGATGTTGGTTACTAAGAACAAAATGAAGTAGATAAAAGAGCTATATATAAACCAATGACTCTCTTAGATTTTAGCCCCACTTTACAGATCCAGAATTTTGGATTTGATTTTCAGACTTTAGAGATGTAGTAAAATTAATTTTAAATCCTATAAAAAAGGTTTTTCTCTATTTCATTGAACCTAACAAATCTCCACACCTCTGCAATAAAGCCATGTCTGTGTACCTTGTACATGTTATTCTTGAGAATAAAAACATATTTCTAAATAATAATAATACAACTTAAAGAAAGCAGTCATTAGAAGTTCACTAACATGTTAAAGAATGAAACAGTTCATTAGTGTCCATGAATAGTTACTGAAATCAGTCTTTGAACTAGGGCTGGTTGGGCATTTGTTCCAAACCCAGAAAGTGCCTACATGCAGAGGACTGGACTGGGTGTCTGGGGTCTAGGTAGGTACTGGAGAAGAAGACAAAAACTGAGCAGGAAACAGCATCAATGAGGAACCATGGAGGTGAGAGTTCCTCAAGATGGAGAGAGATACCTGAATAGATGGAATTACGGTCTTCATGACACTGCTATTTCAAAGAGTGAGCCTCAGTTAGGGGACAGAATGACACTGATGTCCCAAGATGTTGCATAATCCAATTCTACTTAAAACGAAATGTTGAACATTCACATCATATCACTATCTTTTTTCCTGCTATTTTGTTTTTCCATAGAAAAGAATATAAAGTATATAAAAAGATAATTTAAAATAGTCAGTTTTAAATCCAGTGGGATTTATACATTTATTATATGAAGAATTTCTTTAAATTACATATTTTCCTCAATCAATACTATCACATATTTAACTTGAGCACACCCTTTCTACAAAGACTTTCTGATCAATATCTTTCAGTTCTCAACACCAGCCAAGTAATTTGTTTCTGTGAAGAAGTTGACAAGCTTCATTTTACTATGTTCTGAACTTTTCTTTTTTTCTGTTTGTAGTAGATTATATGGAATGTGAACTAATGAAACCATTTATATCCTTCCTTTATCGTTTGTTGACTGATTTGTCAACCAAAAGAAAGTCAGGTCCTGTACTAATCAGACTGTGAGTTTTATTGGAGATTGTCTTTCTTGTTCCAGTTTGCACTTGAATCGTTTTATAGACATATTTTTAAATTTTGCCTACAAATGATGACCTCATTCTTGACTGTTTCATGATAATAATTTAAGATAGAAACAAAACTGATGTTTCTAAGTTTCTGAAGCTTCAAGTTATAAAGAGAAATCACATGTTATTCCTGAGAATTGTAATCCCTATGTACACTGGCTTTTATCACTTAATTTGTCTTGGTTTTTTTTCACTTGCAATAACAAAACAAAGGAGGTAATATCCCAAGATCTAGGAGCATATCCACTCAAATGACATATTCGCAACCTTTTGAAGTTGTGAATGGGACACAGGAATTATTATTGTTCCTCTTAAAATATATCACAGGCCTAGAGAACTGGCTCAGCAGTTAAGAGCACTGGCTGCTCTTGCAGAGGACTTCGGCTCAAATCCCAGCACCCACATGGCAGCTAATAACTATCTGTAAGTCTAGTTCAAAGGAATCTGACACTGTCTTCTATCCTCTGTGGGCATTGCATGGCACAGGTACACTTGCATACATGTAGGCATACACAGAAAATAAAAATAAATGAAATAGATCACAAGAGAGTTAACCCTGTGAAAACTTATCTCCGAAGTTAATTGCAATTTATACATGTACCTATGGTAAAAATTGAACCTCAGGCCTCTTCTTTAAACTGTCACATAATAATGGTTTAAGGAACATTTTAAGCTGCTTAATGTTTGTCAGTCAGGTGAATTAATAACCTAGGTTGGCCTCAAAGAGCAATAAATAAATGTCAATTTCATGGTTTTACTTCACTTTCACCCTTCTCTTTTCTCAAAACTATGTTTCCTTAAGATTTTATATTCGTTGTATTGTCTATACAGTTGCTATTGTGATTTTCAAATGCTCACAACCTATGTCTAAACAAAGTTGACATTCTTTCATAACCAGGCAGAAAATTCAGTATCACAACTGCCGAAAGCATCACTTCATAATGACCCATATGTAAACCTACACATTATGACCTCTGTTTGTAAGCAATCTCATAGAAGAATGAGCATCTTAAAAATAGATGGCTCCCACTTGTTCCTCTCTGTGGAAGTAGAAGTTCAAATATGATCTACCAGTCAACTAAAATACATGCAAGTAGACGCCGCTAGAGCTTTGAATATGTTTTTGCCACATTATTTTCAACTAAAAGCAATCTTTTAAAAATGCATTTTAGTATCCCAGATGGGAAAGTAGAAATGGAAAATAAGAAAGATATTTCACTTAGTTTTGGAAGGAAAGCACATCAATTAACAGATTTTAAATTATTGGCCTGCTTTCACAAATTACTGTATTTTGAGGCAGTGTGTAGATGCAAAAGGAAGTTTTATAGTATCTGTTACTATTCCTTTAAGAACTGTAACTTCAGTGAAAAAAAGTAATGAGTTGAATGATTTAGAAAGACATCAGGAGCTTTCTAACAATTAGAAGAATCTGTTAATTAGCACAGAATATGAATTTTAAGCTGTCTTGCTCATCAAATCATTTATTGTAATGAAGCAATGTTGATCAGAAACCTTACTAACACAAGAAAAAATTAAAAAGAATTAAATAAGCAAAAGCATTCTGAAGATTATGGTCCATGAGTATAAATGAAAGTTCACTTAAAATTGGAAATATCATGTCATGCATCTTTTTCCTCTTGGAAATTTTGTCAGAATTAGTTGGAAATTTTCCTTATAATCATTAAGGAATAGTTGTGTTCACCCTGCTAAGAAGGGTATGAAAGCCACAGTGAGTTTGTGCTATTGAGGGATTATGAGAATTCACTACCATGAATACTGTGATGAAATTAGAAAGTTTATCAAAGACATTCCAAGTTTCTCAATTGATATTTTACTGTATTTAAATTTAAATAGGAAACAATTGAAGGTATATTACCGGATGTAAACCAGGCTCAAAGAAGGTATGACAGAGATTAATAACATGTGTATGTGAAATCCTAAGGACACATCATGCATAGACTTATTAGCTGGACTTGCTTTCTTCTGGGAATTCACTTTACTTAATAGGCTCAATATAATAGCTCTTTATACCACTCCAAAACACAGTTCTGTCCCTCTATTATCAGTCTCCCCTTTAAACTCTCAAGGTGTAGGTTTATTTTTAAGTGATATTTTTCTGTCTATATATTCACTACAAAATACTAACTGCTTTGTTTACATACTGAACTAGTCTCTGGAGACTTACCATTTTAAGCAGAAAAAAATGCTCTATGAACCTACGTTCTGCACACAAAAGAGACAGGAGGAGAGATGGAAATCTAGGTTTCCAGAACTTTAAAAATAGTAGATTTTTTCTGCATCATAAAAATAGCTTTTAGCTTGGAGAAATGTTGTTTTATGTACTGTTAATATGTGTATCTTTACACTGATGCTGTCATAATATGTACTTTTTATTTGTTCTCTAGCTTTTGTATGGAAGGAAGAGGCATAAAATTCATAATGCAGTCCCTGCAGGGACAAAGAGAAGAGAAGGCTGAGGATACATTCCAACTGCTCTTCTGAAGTCTAAGAGGAAACATATTGTGGTAATGTGTAACAACATTAAGCTGCCCCCTCTATCACCAGGAGTTCAGAGAATGTTTCTGCTTTTTCTATTCTTTCTATGTCACTCAACTAAAACTGGTTACTATAGCCTATTAATAGAGATGGTTTAAAATTAGATGCAAAGACAAGTAAAATACCATTGCTTAAAGATTATTATTACTTGTATTCACTGTGTTAAGCTTTGGTTGCATTGCTTCATTGGACTTTATAACCCTATGGGATGTTGATTGGTACTAGTAACCCTTCAACTAAGTGAATTCAGTTGTGAAAACACTAGAGAAGATAAAGGGATCGTCTCACTCATATTATAACTGTAATGGACTTTCAAGAGTTCAGAAGAATTTCATATTCATATTTTTAAAGTTTACTAATTTTTATTTTATATCTGCAAGCATTTTACCTGCGTGTATTTATGTGCACCACATGTGCCTGGTGCCCTCAGAATCCAGAAGAGGGCATCTGATCCCCAGGAACTAGAGTTTCAGAGACTTGTGAATGCCATTTGGGTGCTGTGAATCGAACCTGGATCCTTTGCAAAAACAGCAAGTGTTCTTCACAGCTGAGCCATCCTTCCAAGCCCAAGTATTCAAATTTTTATCGAGATTGGCAAAAGATATTTTAAATTTGAAAACTTGTTTCATCTGTAGATATTTCTTCCTCTAAGACTTATTTTGAGATTACCAGATTAATCCTAATGGAAAATTAAAAACATTTAATTTCAAGCCACAAATATGAAACATTAAGTTGATAAAAAGGCCACTTCCAGAGGAAATGTAAATTGGTAATGCTCCTCTGGATGCCAATTTGACACTACCTAGTAAAGTTGAACATATGCCCGTGCCATAGACCAACAAGTCCGTCCTTCATATTACCCAAGGAAAATGGATTGCATATTCACTAATGTTCTCAGAATATTCAAAATTGGAAACATCACAAATATCCATCAATGAATAAAATACAAGTAAATTATGATGTTCATAGAGTGGCACATCCTGTAGTGAAAATGAATTAGCCAAAACCACATTCAAAGTTATAGATAGTTTTCACAAATATACTGTTGGATGAAAGAAATATGACACAAAAGAATAAACAATACTGTATAACTCTGTTTATGTAAATGTCAAAACTGAAACTGCTGTTCCGGAAACCAAGATGAGAGTGACTTCTTGTGAGAAGATAGAAGAGATTTTTATTTAAATGTATAACGAGATGCTGTCTAAATTCTAATGATCATCTCCGTCTTCTTTGTTTTGGACT